AACTTTATCATCTCAAAGCTTAGGAAAATACCCATATTTTTTCCTTTATTTTACTATATTTTTTAATCTTAATTGTACAAGAAACAATTTTTGTTTTTCTCTCTCTCTCTTTATGGTCAAATGTCTTCTTATTTTTTGTTGATTTTGCATGGATCAAACATAGAATAAATTTGGTATCGAATAGATACGCTCTATTGCTAGCAGGTGGCTAGATTTTTATTTTGTAAATCAAACTTTTGGTTAGTTTAATTAATAATATCTTTTTATAATTTCTAAACTTAAATTAGTCATATTTTTATAATATAATTATCTATTAAAAATAATTATTTTATGTCATTAACATATTAACAGAAAATTATGAGTCAGTAACTATATTAACCTGTAAGTAATGCCCAATCAATATAATGATTTATAAAATCAAGTAATTAGTGTGATTTGTAGCCAATAATGATTCTAATAATTAATAAGAGGGAAAATTAGTAAATTATATGTATTGACACTCTTATTTAGACATGATCACTTTATAAACAAGCAGATCACATTTTTTTTTTTTTTTAACACATTAAGATAGATAAGAGGGATTATTTTATTAATTGTTAACACTTGCACTAATTACAATAGTTAGTACCAATACTCTCTCTAATAAATGATTGAATAAATGATTTTATTAATTAGTAAAAAAAAAAAAATCGGTGTTTTTTCGATCTTTAAAATTTGATTACTTTACAAAGGAAAAAAAAATTAAATCTAAACTTTTAGGTAAAGTGACTCATCCTTTTTATGAAGCACATGATCCTCTCTTAATCATCCAGTGTAAGACTATCGAAACTCAATAAACTTCACATTTCTGACCGGACCCTTGATGGATGTATCTTTTTGTTTGAATACGGAAATAAGTCCACCACATGCTGAAATATCCCTTTCATACGAAACCCTACACATCCATCACATTGTGATAAATCCCCTTCATATGAAACCCTACACATCCATCGCATTGTGATAAATACCCTTTTAATTAGTTTGAGACCTTCATCACACATCCATCACCATGTTACAATATTTTAGGGTTTGATTCTCATACAAACATGAAAGAAGCCCTAGTTAAATATTATTTATGAAGTAATTCATCTCCTTTATAAAGTTTAAAAACCTCGGTAAAACTAGAAAAACGACTTTTAACAATTCTCTAATTTTACACTATCTTTTATGATTGCATTCAAAAATTGTTTTCGAAAATATTTCAATTCAAACTACCCCTAAGTGATCGAGTGGTTAAACAATAACTCTTAAATGTATTACTCAAGAGATTCTGATTTTAAGTCATCTTGGTTTCTAATAGGGATGATCACTAGAGGGTATAACTAATCGTTAATTTCAAAATCCTAAAAATCAGTCGAGGTACGTATAAACTGACACAGACACTCCGATAAAATATAGATATATATCAACCCATTTTCACCAAAAATATTTACATAAGATTTTGTATCCTTTTTCCAGAAACAAAAACCTGAATTGAAATTATATTTCAAAAAAGGAATTATTCAATAATATATCTATCGGGACTCAAAACACTACAATCTAGTACATTAATAGATAGACCAATATAGGACACTAATTTTGGGAGTCCAATATCTTATCTAGAAAGATGAACAATATCCAAATACACTGTCTCAAAAGGACAATCAAATAATTGTTTAAATTTTCAGGACGGTGGGCACAATTTCTAATCTTGACCAACCACACAAAATTCCAATTTCTGTTAGTAATGTATCAATCAAAATAAGCAAGACTTTGTAAGTACAAACATTAGCATACATACAATATAGATAGGGTATACGTAGAGTCAACCGGTAGCCGCCGGTGGAGGCAACAACCAGTCGTACGTGTGTACGGAGAGGGCGGTGGCGGTGCAATCAATTTAAAAAGGTGATTAGAAATTATTAAAGAATATTGTATAATGGAAGACAGAACAAGTTTGTACTGAGAATAGCTAAGATCCAGCTAGCTAATCTGTTTCAAAATCAAAAGCTTCTTGACTAATGACTCAGATAGTGAAAGAGATTTTTTTTTATTATTTTTTTACATGTAATTGATCTGGTAGGTATGAGTAAAATCATGTCATTTGTATCAACCATTTAATGTACCATCAAAAATAACGTTGGAAAATTGTTCTTGTTCTCTTGATATTTTGACATTTTTTAAATTAATTACGGGGTTGGTCTAATTTATAGATCGATGCAAAAACATGTTACCGGTTAACTTAAAAATAAATATTCAAATAATTATTTTATCAAAAACTGCAAGAAAAAAATTGTTATTTACTAATTATCAATACCAATTAGAAGAGGTCCATATTTTAAAATTTTCGGAACGTTTGTACTTAAGAATTTTTGTATATATATATTTGTAATGTTAATATAAGAAATTTTTTATTTTATATGTTAATATTTCTTTTCTTAGATGAAAAGGTGATCTTATGGATGAATATCCTTTAAATAAAAAAATTTAAATGAATTATGCAGTATTGCTAACTTTAAGTATAATGTATGTATAATTAAAAAAAGGAGAGCCCAATTCCAAAATATATAAGAATGAAAATAACAATACATAGTTAAAATAATGAAGCATCATGCAAAATTTTAGACAGATTCTCTTCCAATAATTACAACTTTATTATCTAAAAAAAATGTAAAACTTTTGAAATATAATAAAGGAATACATCTTTGACCACAAAGAAATAATTAGAGACATGAGTCAAAAGATATCTAGAATTTATAAGATTAAGAAGGCTAATTATAATTAATTAAAGCAACAAACCTGCATAAAATTAATTTTAATCTATTTTCCATTATTAACGTGTAATCCGACTGCCTATAAAACATTATTAACATGAATAAAATATTTGTAATCACATGCTGAGTTCAGATTTTCTTGACTCTCTTCACATTTAACCTTGATTAAACATATATTAAAATTCGTTAATTAAGGTTTAATTAATATTATTTATTACTATTTAAACCCTTTTTTAATTTTTTTTTTTAATCCGCATCCATGAATAAAACGTGTCAATTTATTCAACCTTTTTGAGAAACAACACTTAAATTAATTATTTTAGAAAGCTACGGGTTACCGGCTCCCCAGAAAAGCTCAACAGAGAAAGACATGGTCAGTGGTTCCACTTCTGCCACGAATCAGTCTGCAGTATTCAGATAGGAAACTTCATCTAGATTTAAGGAAATAGCCTATAAAGGTCTATAATTATTACAAAATATATTCTCTGAATTCTATTTACGTTTCTTTTAATTAATTTAGAAAAAATCTCAGCCCTTAGATTCTCTTTTTTTTTTTTTTTAATGATAAAAGGGAGCTTTTTCAATATAATTAAAAAGCGAGCCTAAATTGTCAAATTTAAAAAGTATTATTCAAATTATATAATCTGATAAATCTTTTTCAATAATTAATTTTGTCAACAATGATCCCTATTAACTTATCATAAATCAAAATTACAAAACTCATGTTACATGCCATTTCTAAAATTTCAAAAAGAACTTCTATACGTAATCCATTAATGTCTTTCATTATTGGATCATGATCAAAGAGTTGACAACGTAACTCTATGATTAATAATTTAATGGTTGTTTTTGGTCTATTACTAGGAGCTTTAATGGACTTGTAGAAAGTTTTAGATTTTTTTTTTAATTTTATAAAAATTAATTTATTAGACTTTATTATTATAATTATATTAAAAATATCTCTTAATCGTAATAAATAAGTATAATGATCTCATTTCTTCCATTTTTTTTCTTTTAATATATAAAATTCAACATACACTTTCTTATCTCTCATTCCATGCCACTCTTCTTTTATTTTTTGGTTTTGCCCTTGTTGACCACTTTCAACTAAATGTGGATTTTGAAGATGAAAATATATTTTTGGTTTTGCCCTTGTGACGACCTTCAACTAAACATGGATTTTGAAGATGAAAATATTTTTTTTGGTTTCGCTGTAGTTGATGACCTTAAACTAAACATGGAATTTGAAGATAGAAAACCCTAAAATGTGTATTTATACTTGGTGAATACTAAACTTAAATCAATATCATAAATTAATTAAAGAAAGTAGAATTACTTAAAATTAAGAAGGTGGGGGCTTGATGTGATAGCATGGAGACATCATCTAGAAATTAATATAACAAAGAAAATGTGAATATTGCACACGTTATGACAGCCTCTTCCCCACTTACGTTACGTACTTGCTTGGAACCTCCCTCCCAACCATAACAATCAATGACACTCAGCTCTCCTTCCTCTCTTACAAACAATTACCCGTCCTCCCTTGACGTTTGATATTGTTACAATAACCACCCTTAAGGTTTTATTATTATTATTATTTTTTTTTTATGTGCTTTGTATCATGTTAGAGTTCTAAAATTACTTAAATATATCTTACCAATGTAGATATTCCAATAATAATAATAATAATAGCTTGTATGAAAAAAGTAATCAATTCTTTTGCTTTCTTAGTTCAATGGAATGGCCAATCGACTAAAATTTTAAGTTTAATATATTGATATTTTAGTGACAAATCCTATAAATCTAATGTAGTGTTTCATCTATTGATCTTTCACAAAAAGTGTTTGTTTCAAAAATAGGTTGGATCCTACTAACTACACTGCTGTTTTTTTTTTTTAATAACCAGACGGTAAAAAATGCATAATTCCACGAATTATACATATAAATGAATAGAAAATCCTATATAGAAATCATAGCATTTCGTGATTTATTGGTACATCTACTTTGATTCTCTATCAACGAAACCGAGGAGCACTTTTGACTAACAACACTTAGATTTTGAGGTGAAACAGTTATTTATAAAACATTAAGGGTGTTAAAAGAATTAACCTCCTCACTATTGACCCCAACGTAACAATCCTTTCTTCTCTCCTCTATAAGTACACCTCTAAACCTTGGTCTTCACTCCGCTAAAATCTCACTCCAATCTCAAACCAATATAACTCGATATAAGTCAACCACAACCAAATGGAAGATCATCATCAAGCCCTCGCCCTTCACAACGATCATCCAGAGCCAACTTACCGCGGGGTTCGCAGGCGCAAATGGGGCAAATGGGTGTCGGAAATTCGGCAGCCAGGGACCAAAACAAGAATATGGCTCGGCAGCTATGAGACACCGGAAATGGCGGCTGCAGCCTACGACGTTGCAGCATTGCACCTAAGAGGACGCGCGGCGCACCTCAACTTTCCCGAACTGGCGGAGAGCCTCCCTAGGCCAGCGAGTTCCACCTCTGAAGACGTTCAAATAGCGGCTCAGCAGGCTGCTTTGAGGTTCAGAAGATCACCGAATGGTGGAGGCGAAAGTGTAAGTAAAGTTGAAAGTAATTTAGGACCAGTAAGAGTTGGATTGTCGCCGAGTCAGATACAGGCCATCAATGAGTCGCCATTGGATTCGCCGAAGATGTGGATGGAGTTGGGAGCAGGAACATTTTTCTTGGGTGAGCAAATGGATGGGGGGTTTTGTGAAAATTTTCAAAGTTTTAGTAGTGAATGGGCAGATGATGAAGATATGCAGCTTGTTCAGTCTATATGGGATTATTAATTCATTAATTAATTAATCATAAGTCATAACATTTTCGTGAAAATATATTAATTAGTAGTAATTAGTAGATATTAATTTCAATCATTCATCCAAAAGGGGGGAAATTAATAAAAATATATGAATTTATTTCTGAATCAAATGAAATTGATGAGTTGTTTTTTTTTTCTAACTCATTTAGTGTGTAAAAGATGTGCAATTTTTCTGTGTACTACTTGCTATTGAGAACAGTGCAAAAAAATGTGCATCTGTCTCTAATATTCTTTATATATAATGAAGGTACATTTATTTATATGGNTATCAACGAAACCGAGGAGCACTTTTGACTAACAACACTTAGATTTTGAGGTGAAACAGTTATTTATAAAACATTAAGGGTGTTAAAAGAATTAACCTCCTCACTATTGACCCCAACGTAACAATCCTTTCTTCTTCTCCTCTATAAGTACACCTCTAAACCTTGGTCTTCACTCCGCTAAAATCTTACTCCAATCTCAAACCAATATAACTCAATATAACTCAACCACAACCAAATGGAAGATCATCATCAAGCCCTCGCCCTTCACAACGATCATCCAGAGCCAACTTACCGCGGGGTTCGCAGGCGCAAATGGGGCAAATGGGTGTCGGAAATTCGGCAGCCAGGGACCAAAACAAGAATATGGCTCGGCAGCTATGAGACACCGGAAATGGCGGCTGCAGCCTACGACGTTGCAGCATTGCACCTAAGAGGACGCGCGGCGCACCTCAACTTTCCCGAACTGGCGGAGAGCCTCCCTAGGCCAGCGAGTTCCACCTCTGAAGACGTTCAAATAGCGGCTCAGCAGGCTGCTTTGAGGTTCAGAAGATCACCGAATGGTGGAGGCGAAAGTGTAAGTAAAGTTGAAAGTAATTTAGGACCAGTAAGAGTTGGATTGTCGCCGAGTCAGATACAGGCCATCAATGAGTCGCCATTGGATTCGCCGAAGATGTGGATGGAGTTGGGAGCAGGAACATTTTTCTTGGGTGAGCAAATGGATGGGGGGTTTTGTGAAAATTTTCAAAGTTTTAGTAGTGAATGGGCAGATGATGAAGATATGCAGCTTGTTCAGTCTATATGGGATTATTAATTCATTAATTAATTAATCATAAGTCATAACATTTACGTGAAAATATATTAATTAGTAGTAATTAGTAGATATTAATTTCAATTATTCATCCAAAAGGGGGGAAATTAATAAAAATATATGAATTTATTTCTGAATCAAATGAAATTGATGAGTTGTTTTTTTTTTCTAACTCATTTAGTGTGTAAAAGATGTGCAATTTTTCTGTGTACTACTTTCTATTGAGAACAGTGCAAAAAAATGTGCATCTGTCTCTAATATTCTTTATATATAATGAAGGTACATTTATTTATATGGATTGCTTTGTATCCTTAATTTTTTTTTTCTTATTTTTTAAGTTATTACAACATTGATCTAATATAATGAAGGTACATTTATTTATATGGGTTGCTAATTTGTATCCTTAATTTTTTTTTCTTATTTTTTAAGTTATTACAACATTGATCTAATATAATGAAGATACATTTATTTATATGGGTTGCTTTGTATCCTTAATTTTTTTTCTTATTTTTTAAGTTATTACAACATTGATCTATAGTTATAATATTAATCTAATAATATAATTTTTATAATAATATGAGCTTATATGTTATGAACAGTATTTCAATGTTCTAAGTTTTACGTTACATATTTTGTCTTTCTTTTGAACCTTGTTTAACGATATATATTAATTAGTAATTAATTTTTGTTGATATTAATAAACATATATTCGAATATTAAAAAATATCTACATTTCATAAATTTTGTTAGATTAAAAAGTAACATTTCTAAAAAATATCTACATTTCATAAATTTTGTTAGATTAAAGAGTAACATATATATATATATATATTAAGGTATTTTATTTTCAAACTTAATTAAAAGGGAGAAATTAAAAAAAAATTATATATTTGTAATTTTGTATCCTTTGAGCCATGTCAAGCCACGTGGGTGTTTAATTAATATTTAATATTTTAGCATCATGCATATAAATAGGTTGGAGGAAGTTTCATATAAAAATAAAAAAATTATGAAATAGAGATGGAGAAAACAATACTCAGAGTTGACCATGAAGATCTCTTTTTAATTAAAAATTAGGTAATATTGTTGTGTGTTTAATTAAGAATACCAAAACAAAAGTCTTCTTATTATATTCAATTAATATTTCATTTTTCTAAGTAATACCAACTAATCACAGCCCAAAAGATTTCCAATTAGACTTTTGGGAAAAAGGACACTTTGGTAAATTTAAGTGAGTGTGTTCTCAATTTTTTTTATTTTTTTTTTATTTTTATTTTTTTTACGGTATAAAATGTATGTAGAATACTTGTTTACTTATTATTTTTATTTGTTAAAATAAAAAACATAAAAGATAGATAATGTTAAGGATAAATAAAAAAATCAAAAGCAAACAAAACATAAAAAACGATGTTTTTTTTTTATATTTTCATTTTCCAACTTCTTACAATTTCATATTTATTATTATATAACTTTTTATATTAGAAATAAGACAAAAACTAAAAATAATACTCAACCCCACCGAAGTATTTTTTACCTACAATTGTTATAATGTAGGGTCTTGTCCTTTTATAAATTGAATAAATAATTTTATTTACGCAACATCATGATATAAGATTACATATAGACGTTATGTCAATTTAAGGGATGCATTATTAATTAATTTGAGTTTTGGCCATGGCTTCTGTTAATGCATTAAACTCAATAAAACTTATTGCAACGTTAGGAGATAGAATTAGAAAACATCATGTCGTTTTTTTAATAAGCCATCCCCAAAAATTAGCTAATTTATCAATAATCTTACCAGCTAAATACTATAGTAACCCCCTTATATATATATATATGTTAACCGCAATTAACCAATAAATAATAATAAGAGTTTATGGTATCAATCCACCCGAGGTATGATAAAATAATAAACATCCCTTAAGGTTTCAAGAAAACGAAAATACAATGCAATTAAGTTTTATTTATTATTTTAAGGGTATAATTGATAAGTCGTTGAATTTTACGACTAAATTTATCCTTCAAATAAATCCTGTGTATTTTGAAAAAGTGTGATTGTTGAGTTGGTTATATATATATATATATATATATATATATATATATGTCCAAACCCCACGAATTAAACTATGAGATAACTAACAACCATAAACATTGTACCGCAAATTAATTGCACTTCTAAAGGTAAAAGACACAAGAAAAAAAAAATTGAGTATCCCCATCTCTCTCCCAAAATATATTTAAGTTAATGGATTCAAATCTATATTCATTCTATTTAAAAATATTAATAAATGACTTTTAATTTTTTTTTCTAAACTTAGATAACATCAATGAATATCAATTTTCTATATCTAAATCTAAATTTTATGATTATCAACTTTTTTTTTTTTTTTTTTTTTTAACGGATTTGTTTCTGTAAATATTCGCTAAAATGTTGAAGAACATGATCATCAAACTTTTTGTATTTCATCTTCTCCAATTATTATTTCTTTAAAAGAAAAACACAAAACAAAACAAAAATATGTTTTACTTTAATTCAAGTCTTTGTTGAACACCGTCCAAATCTACAGAGGGCCCAACTAGGCTTGACTTTATTTTCATGTGAAATGTCATGACTAGTCAACTTCCTTGACCAAATTGATTAAAAACTTAACCAATTAAGGCAATCCCTTACTGGAAGTAAAATTTGTATCTTTTCTTTAAATAAGTAATTGACAACTCCATCACATGGAAATGATCCACCTAATTAATATATTATTGATAATAAATAATGACGATCATTCATCATTTTACGAAATTATATTAGTATGAAATGTTGGTACTATAATTCTCAATTAATATAGTTACTATTAAACAGCAAATAGAGATTTCTATGAATAAAAAATAATAAAATAATTCACTACAAATATTTTACAATAATTTATAGTATTTTGTTACTATATTGAAACAAAGAGTTGTCTTCCAAAAGGAGGAGACCCCATGAGTAATAAAATATAACTGAGAACTTTTTCTCTTAAAAATAGTCAAACAATGTCTTTTGATTCCAATAAAAACTTTATAGACTCATTCAAAATGATTCAGCCCAAAACTATTTGGGTCCACTCCTATCTTTTTTTCCAGATTATGATTTTAATTTTGTTTTTAATGAAGTTTTAACTTTAGATATTACTATATGATATACTATAAAAATTTAATTGGTTACCACAATAATATATATATATTTTAATTGTCACCCATTAATTAAATACAACATTGTTTTTTAGTGGTGTAAGTGTATAGACTAGAAGGACGTATAATATGAAGAAAATAAAGATAAAAGGGGTCTGTAATATCTTTGCTTTTCTCAATCACTATGAAGTAAAAATGAAATGGAAGGGGGAATTTATAGCCAACACCCCACCCCACACCCCCACCCCCTTATCGGCTCAAAGCTAAGGCGTGGATGGACATTTTACAACACTCCCCCTTGGCATCCACCGCTTAAGCTAATTGTATTTAACTTTACTGAAGAAAAAACAAGAAAAACCCAGTGGGAAAAAAAAAAACTTAAGTAAAGAAATACAACTCTACTATAACGTGAAATTGGACATGCTTCATACTACTTCATTAAGTGGGACAGAACTTGATCAAGGAAAAAAAAGTACAATGCACATATGTCCAGTACAATAAACTTTTCTAAAAACTCCCCCTAATTGATGCTCCTTTTGATCAATGCTCCCCCTCATAATGGTAGAATTAATTTAGTAACTTATTGAGCCGTCGCATATCAATGTTATACACTAACTTTTCAAATGTTGATGTTGGGAAGGCCTTAGTGAATAAATCTGCAAGATTATCATTGGAGCGTATTTGTTTGATATCAATCTCTCGATTTTGCTGGAGTTCGTGTGTGTAAAAGAACTTCGGTGAAATATGCTTGGTTCTATCTCCTTTGATATATCCTCCCCTGACTTGAGCAATACATGCTGCATTGTCTTCATTTATAATTGTGGGGTCGGAGCATCAGAGTTATTTGGTAATTTACATGTACTTTCAATATAATGGATGACAAATCTTAACCGTATGCATTCTCGACTGGCTTCATGAAGTGCAAGAATCTTGAAGTGGTTGGAGGAAGTGGCAACCAATGTTTGTTTTATAGAGTGCTATGATATTGTAGTACCATTATAAGTGAAAACATATTTCGTCTACGAGCGGGCTTTGTGAGGATTAGAAAGGTACCCAGTATCTGTATAGCCAAGTAATTTAGGATCATTATCAGACTTCCTTGGATAAAATAATCCCAAGTCTTTTGTTCCACTGAGGTAACGAAAGACATGTTTGATCCCATTCCAATGTCGGAAAGTTGGTGCAAAGCTAAATCTTGCTAATAGATTCACTGCAAATGCTATGTTTGGTCTCGTACATTGTGTCAAATATAATAATGCATCTATTGCATTTAGATACGATACTTTAGGACCAAGTATCTTTTCGTCGTCTTCTTTAGGATGAAATGAATCCTTTTTAGGATCAAGAGACTAAACTACCATTGGGGTACTCAAGGGGTGAGATTTATCCATATAAAATTGCTTAAGGATCTTTTTAGTATAATTTGATTGATGAAGTAAAATTCCATCTGAACAATGCTCGATCTGCAGGCCGAGACAATACTTTGTTTTCCCTAAATCCTTCATTTCAAATTCTGTTTTTAAGTACTCAACAACTTTTGTGACCTCTTCAAGAGTCCCCATTAAGTTCATATCATCGACATAGACTGCCACAATTGCAAATCCTGATTCTGACTTTTTTATAAAGACACACAGGCATACAGGATCATTGATGTATCCTTCCTTAATAAGATATTCACTGAAACGATTATACATCATTCGTCCTGATTGTTTCGACCCATATAATGATCTTTGCAATTTTATTGAATACATGTTCCTTTTATTTGCTTATGGCACTTTGAGTCTTTCAAGGATTTTCATATAGATATCAATATCCAATGTACCATACAAATATGCAGTGACAACGTCCATGAGATGCATATCGAGTCATTCTGAGACTGATAAACTA